AAACAACGACCTTTTGTCTGTCCAGTGTGCTGCAAGGGATTTGCACGTCGCGATCTCATGACAAGGCATAGGGCCAAGCATGTTCATGGCACACAGTCATCAGCTACTGAAGCTTCAACGGATGGATTCAGGTATCGAGTTTCTCAAGCATGCAAACGATGTGCAGCTTCCAAATTAAAATGCACCGACGAGAAGCCATGTCCACGATGTATCAAGAAATCAGTCCCTTGTGAAACAGTAGACAGTATTCCAGTCCCTGGGGCAGCTATCCCTGACGGCATACAGAGTCAAAGCTATCGAACAGGCGCCAAAGAGCCTGGGCATCATGCCCCCGACAATGATAAAGACACGTGCTCGGATGATGATGCTGTTGACGATCAGGTGCCAGCGCCCATACGCCAAGCGGGAGATCAGGCTCCGCTGACGGAACCAATGCTTTTTGACGCACGAGATGCCGATACGCTTTGGACTATGGAGAGCTTTTTTGATATGGGTGATCAGGCCACTGACCCCACCTCGACCGGAGACCTAACTGGCGTGCAGTATATGGATTTTTCCTTTCTAGATGAGATGAATATGGCGAATGAGACGAATATATGGGCTCCCGAGCTACCGAGTAGCACACGCCCTTCTATTATGCCAATCAACTCACAGGCGTACATCACCTCATCTGTGGCTCGGGCGTGGGTACCTCTGCCCACTGAAAATGGGAGTATGGAGCGAGCAAACCTAGCTTTGGCCGGTGATATCCACGAACCACCCACAAAGGGGAATCCTGAGCATGTTTCCCTACAGCTTATCGCTCCTGCTGCTCGAGACCGCATTCTGAATATGGTCTTCACAGCATATCCAGAAAAGACTGGGCAGATCGTTGAAGGATTCCCCTCCGCTGAGATTCTGTCCAGATTGGTGTACAGATATGTAAGCCAACGTAAGGTTAAGCGTATTGATGACTTCATTCATCTTCCTACCTTCGATTGGAAGAGCCGACGCCCAGAGCTCCTTGCCGCTATAATCGCGATGGGGTCAATAGATGGCCCCTCCGCTGCTGTGAGGAAATTCGGATACGCACTGCAGGCGACTGTGCGACGTGCCACCATCCAGAGGGTATATCTACATCAGCAATTCCCGTCTGATTGTTTCATTGCTGACGAGGGGTATCTATAGTACGAGGAAGACCATGCGAAGATGCGAGACATGGACCTCGCCCAGGCATACATGATTCAACAATATATTGGTTTTTTCAGCGGCATATCTCGTAAAATCGGGTTAGCCGAAAGTTGCTCTATGATCACTTCGACTATTATTTCTCAAGCCCGGATGCTCTTGCAGGGCTCCGAAAAGACTGTCGAGGCTGTCCTGGCTACAGACTCTATCGAGCAACTTGATCGTATCTGGCGCCGTTGGTGTCAGCAAGAGTCCATTCGCCGCCTCATCTACTATTCCTACTCGTTGGACTCCCAGGTCTCTATCACCCGCAACCTCAACCCCATCCTCTCATACACTGACATGGATTCGTCCCTCCCGTGCCCCGATGCGCTCTGGCACGCTGACTCGCCAGCCTCCTGGAGACAGGAACTCCTCGAGAAAACAGTAACACAGCCGACATCATTACGGGATTTACTACAGTCACCTCGACTACTCAAGACGTGCGCAGACTGTTTAGATTCACCGTTCGTGCATCTGGTCTACGTGAGTGGACTCTGGTCAATAATACAGGAATATCGTCGGCTTAGCTGCATTGCTAGTAGCTCTAGCACCTGGAACAACCTAGTCCTTATGTCTCGGCACAGTGAACTAAAAGCAATACTGGAGCGATTCGGCAAAGAGAGTATCGCCGTTCGAAGAAAGTCCCCTGAGGTGGATCTGCTCTATAACTTGGTGTCTATGCACCTACATGTTTCCTTCAAGGATCTCCAACCCATGGGCAGCAGCGGAAAGGGCGAAATATGCAACCATGAGGATCCAGCAGTCAGACAGTACGCACTGGCATGGAGAAAAGACGCGGGCTCGTGGTTCACGATCTGGTTCGCTGGACAGGTCGTGCGGGCTGCAAAGGCGTTTCGTCCAAAGACGTTATGTGATGTCTATTCGATTGGGCTTCTGCAGGCCACAGTCGTACTCTGGGTATACGGAAACCTCAGCGACGGCCAGATCACCCCGTCTGCAGCATCTCCGATAATTGAGTTAAATGAGACAGATCCGGCAGGGCTGGAGAACTATCTCTGTTACGGGGAGGGTCAGCCGGGGTTGAATGTTTGGTCGCGAGGGTTTGTTCCGCTATCTAATTCACCATCAATCGTGGAGGCTATTCAAGGTATTATGCAGCGGAACTGGCAGCACGCCTCTTTTCCCTCGGGCACTGATGAAGTCTACCAGGTGCTTAGCGACTTGCAAACGTGCTCCTCGATTCAGGGGTAGGATGTTATTGAATATCGGGATGTACGTGCTGGTCCAATGATCCCAAACATATCCACTCCCAATTTAGGGGCAGTGACCGGAGTTAGGGTTTGTGGCCTAGGCAATACCTAATCATCAACACAGATGGAGCCAGGGGAGTAATGATGGGTCTACATGCCATCCTCGTCATACACAAATGTCACAATACCACCGGGGGGCATCTTGTTCAGCCGATGAGAAGTTACCAGCCGTTTTACATGACTCGTGAAACATCTCCATACACTTAGGTACCACAGAGATAGAAGCCAAAACTTTCTACGTCACGTAAATTGCGTTGTTAGAAGCTCTTTCTTCGGGGGTTGACGGGTACGGAGAATCGGTATCCCCCCCAGAAGCTGACTAACTGCTGTCCTATTTAGTCAGCAACATAGAATCTTCCTCCATCTGCCACGGAAGGTGGCTGTATAGATGCGATCCAGGGCATCGGAATGGTAGATTTAAGATTATGTGGTCTTTTGGTCTTGTGGAATATAGGGCCCTGGCTTCATCTCTTACGCCACCATCATGGGATATATAATCGCCGGACAATCTATGCCCGAGAGCCACCGCACCGCGTAACATGGTATACCAGGAATTTAGCTCTAGAAAACTGTTAAAAGTATTACGAGTATGATCATTCCGATCATAGTTTTGTTATGACTTACTCTCATGAGTGAACTGAATTTTATAGGTACACTCTCATTGGGCACGTGGTGATAGAGCAGCCCACCGGCAAAACGGCTGCCCCTCTGAGTTAAACCCTAATCTTATCGATCAGTCCCGCCTTAGTCAGCACCGCATTCGTCACAAAATCTCGCGATCGGCACGCAAAGATGCAGGAATCCGTCCATAGTCAAGCGCATTATCATCAACAACCCAATTCAACACGGGAGCCCTCTATTCAACATCAGAATGACTGACTTCATCCTCACTCTCTCCTGCCCCGACCGTCCGGGCATCGTGCACGCCGTGACCGCGTTCCTGGTCCAGCACAACCTGAACATCATTGACTCATCGCAATTCGGCGATCCTACATCGCACCGATTCTTCATGCGCACGCATTTCTCCGCCGACAAGAATGCCACCGAGAAGAGTATCGACGAGCTGCGCGAGGCCTTCGAGCCCACGGCGAAGTCCCTCTCCATGGACTTCCAGCTCGTCCCTGCCAGCCAGAAGCCCCGCGTCCTGATCATGGTCTCCAAGATCGGCCACTGCCTCAACGACCTCCTCTTCCGTAACTCGACTGGCCAGCTCGCCATCGATATCCCTCTGATCGTGTCTAACCACCCCGACTTTGCCACCCTCGCGGCTACCTACAACATCCCCTTCGTTCACCTCCCCGTCAACAAGGATACCAAGCCGCAGCAGGAGGCCCGCATCCTGGAGCTCATCAGCGAGCACAACATCGACCTCGTCGTTTTGGCCCGCTACATGCAGGTCCTGTCCCCCACCCTGTGCGAGGCCATGTCCGGACGTATTATCAACATCCACCACAGTTTCTTGCCCTCGTTCAAGGGCGCCAAGCCTTACCACCAGGCCTACGACCGCGGTGTCAAGATTATCGGTGCCACCGCACACTTCGTCACTAGCGATCTGGACGAGGGTCCGATCATCGAGCAGAATGTCGTCCGCGTCAACCACGGCATGAGCCCCAAGGAGCTGACCCACGCTGGAAGCAACGTCGAGAGCAACGTGCTGGCATCCGCCGTGAAGTACTTCTCCGAGCGGAGGGTGTTGCTCAACGGACATAAGACTGTGGTGTTCAACTAGACGTTTCATGGATATATTTGTATATATATACCTTACGAGGCTAGGATAGACAAAAAGGACGGATAAATAAAACACAACCTTCTAAAGTCAGGCCAGGTCTAATCTAAAGTCCAATGCCCTCAAAAGAATGATAATCCTCCTCTACCTCCTACTGCACAGCATGTAACGACTCCCCCAGCTGCGAAACATCCATTTCCGCGATAACTTCCCTAGAACTTATTACTAGTAGCATATTCCCACGAATATCCTAAGCAGAATAAGAGAGAACATACTCGTCCGCCCCCAAAACCAAACCCAGGAACACAATCCACCAAAGCATAAAAAACATAACGCCCCCCTCAAAACTCCACACAAACCCAATAACAGGCGCGCCATGGGCGGAGCAGTCAAGGGAAGGTAAGCTGGGAAGATTCATATAATTTGCATATGTACCTAACGTCCTGACAAGATTGCTCAATAATGACACATGATTGGGCTTTGCTATAATATCGAAGGAATCATCAAATGTTACATTGAGCTGCATGTTGACCAATCCTGAGCTGAGCACACTATTAGTGCAGCTATGTTGCATAGCCGAGGTAAGGGAGGCATGCAGACTTAGTTTATTGGAGTGGACAAGGATGACATTGCATTAGCAACCTGCAGGAGATATCTGGTGTAGAAGGGACATCCCTGCCCTCTTCAGCCGCACTGTTCCCACTCCGCCTGCTAGGGTTAAGACACTTAATCTCAGCGAGCTGAGGGACCATCTCTTTGTCAAACAATTCAATTATGTAAAATCTAGTTCGTGATTATATAACATAACGGAAGCTTTCAATTTCAAGGTCCGTCTTGTTCGACAGACCTTGCATCCGCTCCTCTTCCTCTGTCAACTCGGAAGGAGGACCATACACCGAGTCTCGGCGTTTATTCTCGAAGATATAATAAACGAACAAGCAAATCAAGAAAAAGGTCCCCAGGGCGAGGCCCGAAATGGCAGCCTTCATACCGGTCTAGGCACTAGTTAGCATCTGTTTATGCATACGTTATCATGAGGAATAAACTCACAGGATAATGAGGTTCCTCAGAGTCAAGGAAGAATTGAGGTCCAACAATATTTCCGATACAGTAGGCCACAAACATCAAGGCACTTGTCGTACTCCGCTTAGTGAAGCCGGCCACGTTGGAACTGATGATGCTCAGTGCAAGGGGAATGTTGACTGCAAAGACGGCTCCCAGAGCCAATCCAGTCAAGCGACCTTTTTGGTTATCTTCATCTAATTTCCAAACGAGGACCATGCCAACCAATGAGACAGTCGTGTTGAGGATCATCATGATGATTCGGGTATTGGGAATGAGGGTGGCGACACCGGCGGCGAGGAACAAGAAGACGATTTGGGCGGCACCGAGAGGCATTTGCATCAGAAGGGACTTAATTTGAGTGAAGCCGAAGCCGCTGATAATAATTGAAGAGAACTGACTCGTCAGTAAGGGTTGAGGAAATTTCGGGAGCTTGAACGACATACACTAGTGACACCTCCGTTGCACAGATTAACGGAGAATGTGTACAGGACAAGAAACCATGTTTGTGGATCACGAACGGCAAGCCATGCCTGATTCCATTTGAAGTCTCCACCATCCATTACACCTGTCTTGTTCTTAAGGGTCCGTTGCACGGCGATTGTCCGCTCGGTTTTGGTCAAGAAGATCGCTTTCTGTGGAGAGTCGGGTAGGAGTATAACGAGAAAGACCGATATGGCGGCAGTGATGGCACCTAAGAAGAGAAATAGTAACTGCCAACTCGAGATGGCATGAACCTTGATGTTCCCGATACCATAAGCAACAACACCACCGATGACGGTGGAAACACAGTTGCCAAAAAACCATGCAGCTTGGCTGTAAGACAGTTAGATTGAGAGTGCCAGATACTCAAGACTACTGTGCTTACCGTGCAGGCTGCTCCTCGCGCTTGTAGTACATTCCCGTGATTAGAGCAAACCCTGGGGCGATGGCGGCTTCACCGACTCCCAGAAAAAAACGCGCGGCCATCAAACCACCAAAACTTTTCGCAGCCGCATGGCACATGAGAACCCCTCCCCAGACGAGCCTGTAAGCTGTTAGTGAGGGACGCTGGTAGATGTAGGTGGGTAAACGAACACTGAGGCGCTGAGATATTTGGCTATGGGAAGGCGGACAATAAGGTAGGAGCTTGGCCTAATCACTAGTTAGTGAGCTGGGTGGGCGAACTGGTGTTGCGAACATCATACCAACTCCACGCAAAGTATCCAAAATAAAAGATCGCTGAGGACCAGGAGTACTCTGTCCCTTGTAGATCCTGGGAAGGTCAGCACCATAGCTCAGACGTGAGTGATAAATGATCGTTCATACTAAGTCCTCTCTTAAGTTGAACATTGTTGCCTGACTCAAAGCCAGTTTGTCCATATATTGCATCATATAACAGATACCCATTAAGGGGATCAATCTGAATAGTATAAGTTTCTGAGCATGTAATAATCAACATCAATATACTTACATTAAGTCTAGCTTTAGCAACACCTTTCTCTCCTGTTGTGGAGTAACTTCCATCCCCAGCATCTGTCCCAGGTCGACATCTTTGGCAACTGACGCCTGAGGTTCAAGCTTGAAGTCATCTATCTCCGGCATTGTCCCGGGGGGAGCATCGTGGTGCTTTTCCATGGTATCCGGCACTCCAAATTGTCAAATTTAGTGAAACGAGAAAATATCCTCTCGAGCTATGAGCCCTTTTATGATAGGTATGCAAAGAATCGGTAGCAATTTTCGGGAATTGAATGATAGCCCAACGCGGAAGATCGCACACTATTTCCGCACCTAGAACATGCTAATCAGACCTAAAATATCCAAGCATTTTGCACATTCACCGGATAAGTAGGTAATTAGTGAGTCAGGTCATAAAGATAGCGAACTGGATAGATAGGATACTCTGCGGAATTGACATCTGGGTTAGCGTGGCACCCAATACCGTGGGTCCATATGAAATCCTGGAGGTATAAAATCCACTGTGAGCCCACTTTTAATGCCGGTTAAAAACCAACGATTCGCCCCATAGAGCGCCAGCGCCACTGGAGAGATACGAAGTAGGGCTTCGTCGGCAAATCCACCAATGCCCGTGCCGAGCTCGGCAAATGTCCAACCTAAAATCGCGAAGGTTATCAACATGCTCCCTTATCGTGTGGACCTACATTACTGCAATGGGCATTTAACAGGCCCTTGCTGCAGCTACCCCGCAAATTCAATCGTGCGGAGAGAATGCCATCTGGAAACCTGAGGTGATTCAGACGAGGACTGGGGCTGTTTTGATATCCACATCCCCACTCTTGGCTTCGGCAAATTGGGGTAGCGACTGGCTGTAATCTGCCGAGGGGGCCAGTGATAATGAAGATAATGATTGTTTCCTTAAAACTGATATCATCCATCATACCGTTGGTCATCAAGTTTCCCCCCCTGCTAGCCTGCTTATTCTTACCAGATAAGGACAATGATAACATATCCAACATGTGGGGTGCAGGTAATGGAGCCGACGTGCAGCACGATAGGCACTGACGTCGGCGATCTATCCTATCAAAGGGTCTTCTGAGGTGAAAAGCCGAATCATCCTTGCAATGACTACAGCCGAGGCATAGCCATACTATCGAAAGTGTTGTAGACGAATATATTTATAATGGTCTTCGCTAGCGTTTAGTAACTGACAGCTACCCTAAACTGCGCGTACAAATATTACAATCTATCACCATGGCAATCTCACAAACCAAGCCTAGTATTGCGGATATCAAGGCATCCGTTGATGCGGCGTTAGAGTCGTTACAGACAACCTTAAGAGAGTTAAATCGAGAGGTATGATATATTGCTGTCCCTGACGTCATCTATCCGCAAACGCTCATTGCGTAGATCTGGTCCAATCCAGAAACAGCATATGAAGAGTATAAAGCTCACGACGCGATTTGCGACTTCCTTGAAGCACAAGGGTTCACTGTGACTCGCCACGCATATGGCCTGGACACATCATTTGAAGCCATCAGTGGCTCTGGCGGACGATTGATCAACTTCAACGCTGAATATGACGCATTGCCCGGCATAGGCCACGCCTGTGGCCATAACCTGATCACAACGAGCAGTGTCGCTGCTTTCTTGGCACTATCTGCTCTTCTAAAGCAGTATGGCATCCCTGGTCGTACTCAGCTGTTGGGCACACCGGCCGAAGAGAATGGCGGTGGAAAGGCCAAATTGATAGATGCCGGGGCTTACAAGGGTGTTGATATCTCCTTGATGGCGTATGCATCTTGCGACTCTCTACTACTTACAATATACTGACTCAATGTAGGCATGCTGGTCCCCAGAAGCTCTTTCCTGGTGTTGAAGCCACTGGCGTGGGCGGCGTCTTGATGAATGCCCGCAAACAGATTCACTGTGAATTCACTGGAAAGAGTGCCCATGCTGGAGGCAACCCTTGGGAAGGCGTCAATGCGCTCGATGCCCTGGTAACCTCTTATAATAACGTTGCTGTCCTACGGCAACAGCTCCAACCGGATGAACGTGTTCATTGTGCATTTTTGGACACGCCTAAGGTAGCCAACGTCATTCCAGCTTATACCAAGGCCTATTGGCAGGTTCGCAGTCCAACACTGAAGGGCTTGAATCGGCTGATGGTCAAGGTACGCAATTGTATTGAGGCAGGTGCATTGGCGACCGGATGTGAAGCTAAGATCACGGAGTGCGTAGGCCATATCCCAAGCTCTTCGTGGGGCTTAAGCTAATATGTGTAACAGAGATGAGCTGTACACTGACATTAAGATAAACGACACATTATGTGAACGTTATCAGGCCCACATGGGTAGCTACGATCGAAATGTTCTGAAGAGCCATGAGAAAGTCTTAACTGGGTCATCCGATATTGGTATTTCACACTGTTTTCTTTTCTAGGTTATGTCAATTACTAATGGCTACGACAGGCAATGTTAGTTATATCATGCCCACTCTCCATACCATGTTCGGTATACCGGGACCGGACGGATCGTTCCCTCACCATCCGTCGTTTGCAGCAGCGGCTGGCACTGATGATGCTCATGTTGAGGCAGTGGTTGTGGGCAAATCGTTAGCCATGATCGGATGGGAAATGGTTACGGACGAAGCCTTATTCGAACAAGCAAAGGCACAATGGCAACAGTGTATCCAGGAATAAACCGGACGTATCCCTATTTTAGCAAATGACGATTATTCGACCCACGAATATCTCCACCCGTTGAGTTTAACTTGAGTAAAGTAGGTGACATGAGTGAGAAGAACATAGCATCATATTCACGGCTACATTCAATCGCCTCGGTAGGAATGACGAGAATAATGCTCTGCTGCGACACGAACTTACTACCTGCCGCGTAGCACTCATATCAACTAAGATTATAGGTGCTGGTAAAAATAGGGTAGGGCTTTTATAGAGTAAGACGTTTTAGAATAGCAGGCTTACCAGAACCGGCTCACTTCGGTCTTTTTTAAAGTATTTGTTACTATTCAATGATATCAAGAAACATGGGGTAGGAAATTTGACCATTGAACAGTTTGATACGCTGCAGACGGCAACAGTCTCAAACTGATCAAGGCCTCAATCAGAAAGTAGCATCTCGCCAAGGTATAACCCACCAAGACGAGAAAGAAGAACGGTGCTGCGATGATGTCCAAGTCCCCATTTCGAATAAGGTACAGCGCTTTAGATCTCGAGCGTACGCCTTTCCACCATAGAACCCATAGCCCACCCCAAACTGGAACTGTGGTGAGAAAAAGAGCTGACCCTCTCCACAGCCAACTCTCCAATGTTGTTGGAAAATCCGAAGCCCACCCAGCTAGGTGGCACCCGCCGTACAAGACATTGAAGAGCACATGAATCCCTTTCTCGAGGTTTGGCTCGTGGCCAAAGTCAGTACTCCAGCCCCCCCATACCGTCCGAATAGTGAAATTCTCGGAGGTGTGGCGGAGAAGCTTTCGATGACTGGGTTGGATTCCTCGAAACGTATTACATCCTTGACTTTCTAAAAGATGAAGTCCCTGGCGAGCGTCTTCTGCAATGGCGCATAGAATTTCCTCGTCGTCATACCGCTTTGTGCAATTGCGGGTGGCATCCGACTGGTAGTCATCGAGCAGTTGGTCGATGGGTTTTAACACGGGGGGTTTCGGGGGTGCACCAAAGGTTAAAGCTCCTTGCGATGCTTGTATAACGCGCTCCTTCCAGTACTCTATCCTCTCCATCTCATACCGTTCGCACTCTTTCTGGAAAATGTCGCGACTGATATCAGAGAAGTTGAAGAATGCGCCAAGATAATTCATATCTGGCCCGGCTACCACAACAGACTGCAACAAATTGTAAGGTTTATTGACCCATATTGCATAGACTATTATTGTGCATCCGACATGGATAGCTGTATGTGTCTCTAATGGCGTCACAGGTAAGCCCTGACATAGTCTCCCCAGTACCTGTAAGGCGAACCAAACGATCTGGCCAACGACTATGCTTTTAGCGAAGATATCTGCCTTGCTCCGTTCGGCAACATCTTCTCGACTGAGAGCGGGCAGATGACCGGTCTTGGCCAGTATGGATACCCCTTCAGGTGTCAGAAGGCGACGAATGATGCGCTTTTCGGTCGCAGAGTCCAGGTAATGCGTCTCAATAGCAAAGCCGCCCATGACGGCAAACATGGCCTGGTCGTGAAACCAGGGGTCAGTTGTGGGCGGCTGGCCTTGAACAGGATCAGATGTAGTATGAGGTAATGGCGCCACTAAGTCTGGATCTGAATATTTCGGGAGCAGAGAAAGATCTTGACTTGCGGTCTCCTGGTTCGGAGAGACCTTCATCTTCCATGAGAAGGCTTGTTTTAACCGGAATTTCGCAGTAGGCTGGCAATTGTTTAGTGAGCGTAAGTTAGAATATTATAGCTTGTTTCTCGCAGTTTCCGCGACTCGCTAGATGCATCATAGAGCGACGAGAAACACCACAAAAAAACTGCATATCGCTAGGTACTATACCTCTGATGTGGTCTTTTTTGTTGCCCGCCCTAGGGACCGATTTACTTCAACAAGCAGGTTCCTCGCGCGTCTTCTCTGACCCCATGCGGAAGTGATAATAATCTCTGGAAAGATAATGGCCAGCACCATTAACCCCAAGCGCTCGAAGAGCGTGGACCAGGCATTATGTACGACCGGGATGTTTGGATGGATGGCAGTCCATACACACAGACCAAGTGTCGCTAGACATGTCCACAGGATATCTAGGGTCCCTCTTGTCTGGGGTCCTGAAGTCCAACCCTGGACCTGAGACATTGGGCATTACGCTTGATAGCGGAATTGGTCCTTGTGGTCAGATAGCCGGCGACACAAATTATTTAAGGGTAAGGAGGGGTGTGGGGGCAGGCTTTGGCGGTGACGGTCACTGACGATCAGCATCTCGTCACGTCTCGACACGTACGATTATGAGGGATGTGTGGGGGGGAAGGGGGCACCGCTTCAGAGGCTGAACTTTCGAAGTTCAGCCGCCAACCGATCCAGTCCACCTAATTAAATTTATCACTGGCCACTCGTAGCCTAAAGCCTCCCAAACTAAAAGTTCCCTGCACGCGTTGGTGGGCACACTGTCCCGGATGACCCAGAAATCAGTGCTGCCCAATGCATTGTATTAACAACATAGTCTGCGTTGTAGGTTCAGCATATTTGGACGAGAGGCTCAGGTGCCAGGACCTCAGACGCTCGGTGAATGCTTCGTGCTACAGAATCTCATCGACTTCCGGGCATGCAAAATGCTATACAGACCGAATACCCTGTGGACCTGGATCTTTTTTGTTTCCACGTTTATTGAAGCAGTGGTGCTCATCACTCTTGAGGTGTATGCTTTGACGCTTATTACAATGCTTAGCATGGAAACTGCTGACCTATGGAACAGGGTAATATACACCAGTCTTCAGAACAGTGTTACGCCTATTGCTTCGACTGTCACGGCATATAGATCTATACCCTCTTTCTTCGCTCTAGTAACACTTGGGCTAGTATATCAGCTGCTCCTTGTCTATGACACATTGGCGCATCAAAACACTATCCAAGTGATTGGGTTGGGCATATACTCGGGCGCATTAAGCGTATACAATGGCATTCAGTATAACCAGCTGCGTGATATAGTAGAAATTCTCACAGCCAATTCTGTTGTACCCCAAAATACATGGCCTCTGTTACGGGGTATGATCGTTTCGATCATAGTTATAACGGCATCCTTCACCTTTTGGATCCAATACAGTGCGTGGAAGTTGTACGAAGAATTTGCCTGGGTTACCCTACGAAAGGTGGAAGCCGATTTACAAATGAGACGGAGGTATTTATGCTTCCAGGTAAGTAAAACCTTTCCGGTATGTCGTGTGGTTGATATGGCTCTGACCTTTGTCCCCTCATTAGCTGCTATTGTCTGTGTTAAAGTTCGATGGATTCTTCTTCCTTGGATTTCTACTACAACTCGCGATTATACCTTACAATAAAAGTGGTCCAACTTTTGTTGCAATAGTGACCCTTATCCCCCTTTCGTGTTGTCTATTATTTATCACTGCGTGGGTCGTAAGGCACGAGTATCGAGTGGGGACTATAGTTATCTCCGTGGGTGTCCACCTTGCCATTGCCGGTTGACTTTGCTAATAAGCTAGATCAGGTCTTCCATCTTGCGCTGATAGGTTTCTTCATATACATGTTTACCGCGTTCTATTTGCCCCGTACCTATGTGGAATATCTCTCGGCTCAAAGGACATTGAGCTTTTTCGGGATCATCACCATTGTATTGGCACTGGGTACAGTAACCATGATATGTGTGTGCTTCCGAAATTTTGGACAAGGGCTTCGTCCGTATGTCTCCGGCGGCGCAAAGGCTAGACTGCTTGGGGAGACCTTTGAGATGCAGCTACGCGAGGGTTACTTGCGAGTTCCGCATGAGGCAACATGATTGGCAGCGAGGACTTCCAGTTTTAAGAGCATTTCAACAAGGATTGCCCGGTGAGATGTATGCTCTGCTGTAATTCCACATCACTTTAATCCGGCTATCATCACACTGCACTATAACTATAGCCGCTGGGCAACGCGGTGCGACTGTATGACTCGCGGTGGGGGCATGTTAGGGCTCGTACCGATAACGCATGCAGTTCAACGCTGTTCATGCACATATATAAGTGCCAAATACGTGCACAGCAGCTTTCTATAGAAATCAATAGTAATCTAAGAGAAGAACTTGCCACATTTCGGTCTCTGATGGACCGACCAGTCGCTGACTAAGCATCATCAACTCTTCTCCATTTTCCGGCATTGCTTTTCCTGCTCTTATCGTCACTTTTCCCGACACCCTTCAGATTGTTTCCCGGTTGCCCTGCTACTTGGCATCCACTCGTTGCTAATGCCTCCCGGCTGATTGCTTCTTTTTGTAGCGTGGGCTCTTCAATCCATGTCGGGTCGGAACGCCCCTCGCTCCAAGAAAGGTATTTAGTTAGATACTTATGTGCATACATTCTCAGAGCTTGCTACGGAATGCTCGGCTTGCCGGTGAAAACTCCCAGACTAACCGCGACTTCGCCCAGGCTGCAGTACCTGCCGCCGTCGAAAAGTGAAATGCGGCGAAGAGCGCCCGGTCTGCAAACGCTGCTCCAACTTGCGACTCAGCTGTGAGTGGGGAGTTCCAGTGAAACGAGGCAAGTCCATCACTCCAGCGCGCCAACTTCAGCCTCGATGGCCCAGTCGTGATGTCGCCGCCTCCGCTCCCTTCGCCGCTTCAACAATCGAGATCCCTCATTTACCCTCCGTGACTTCCGCTGCCACGCCATGGTACCCCCTAGACGCTACCGCCGACCTCACGGGGATCCCCGTTGGTTCGATTTCCTCTCCAGGCTGGCTCGGCGTGCCTCCCTATCCCCCGCCCCCGCCGCTTTATCCTCCGCTATCTGGAACCGACTTCGCGTGCGCCAACTCGTTGGTGCTTTCCGAACATGATCAGAAGTACTTCCAATACTTCCCGTCGTCCTCCCTGGTATTCTATTACATGAAGTCGTGGCAATGGAGCAGTTTCTGTTATCTATACCAAGGGCCGGCAGCCACGAACAAGATCATAATGCGCATGATCCTCGCCTTATCGGCGAGTGACATGTACCGCAACGGTCTGATAGTGCGAACGCCCGGCCGGCCCACGGCGGAGGATCATGGTCGCTACCACTACGGGTTGGCCGTCAAGGAATTCCGCCAGTCCCTGGTGTCCCCGCGACAGGTCTCGCCCGCCGAGCTGGAGGCGATCTTCGCGACTATGTTTCTGATGGTAACATACGAATGGCAATATGGCCATTCCGTGCGGCATCTAGAACTACATTTACAGGGGGTGAAGTCGTTGCTGGAATCTCACCCGGAGTTGTTTCAGATCAAGGATGTGAATAATGTGCTGCTGTCGATGGAGTCCGAAGAATCGAATGAGTCGGAGTCTCGGGTGTCATTTATCCCTGAGCAGCTATTACTATGGATTCTGTAGGTACCATGGCTTTTCTTCGAAAGCCGGTCTAATGTAGCCTCAGGTATATCGATGCGAGTTGTCAACCCATGGGGTTGACCGAATCGCTCTACGACTACGTTCTGAAGTCCGGGAACCCTGCCCTGCATCCGGACCGACTATATCGCTGCGCTCGTGTGTGGGGTCGATGCTTCTGGGGTAAGCAGTACCCGGACCAGGAAGTATCGGATGATATGGAGAATTACCGGGGCTTGGAGCTCTTACATGCGGGCATGTCGCTACGGCATCGAACCTGGCAATTGCTATTCGACCATATTCCCGATTCGGGGTACCAGGCGGAGTCCTTTTTCAACGAAATAATGGCCGTCCGAGATGTATGTCCCCTGCTCGTTACACACAAGACCAATCTCTAACAGCCGCAGAAATTCTCCGATCTGTTCATCACGGCCAAATTCGCCGGTCCGGCCTCAATGCGACGCACATTAAACACGATCAACATGGCTGTTAGCACTTTTTACGCGCAGATCCTTTTCCATCGGCGCTTACTCTGCCCCTCCCAATCTCCGCGGACGCTTCACCGGCATGCCTTGAGCAACATTCTCGAGATTACGCATAAGCAATACGCATCCGAGCCACGACTCATGCGTCGCCTCCACTGGCCAATTCTGGTCGCGGCACTCGAAACAGACGATCCAGCGCAGCTTGAATGGCTCCGTCAGCGACTAGCAGATCTGCGTCAATGCCATACCGAGATTCGGTGGGCCAACGAGATTGTAGATGAAGTGCTCGCGCAACAGGATGCGAGCAAAGGGGAGTACGTAAATCTGGCCGAATTGCTGCGCAATCGCGTCGCACCGTAGTAATAAAATTCACACGAGGGACATATTCTATAATGCCCCCTGACATGACTGCTTCCCAGAAGATATATACCATAGAACACTTAAATAGATTTTAATAGAGCGAATCCATACATCAAACAATATTCTCCAAGAAATACGCATCATACGCAACCTCGCCCTTGGCTCTTGTCGCCCGTCCAACAATGACCCGGTTGTTCATCCATTTATATTTTTCATGTCCGGTTTCGAGCTTGATGTGTAAATGAAACCAGTACTGGCTGGGATCCACTCCGTCTCCTTCCATCAAGGCCTTCAAGACTTCGGGAGGCCCGGCGCGAGTTCCTTCCGTTCTATATATATAATAATGTCAGTCACCGAAGCTATAAGTCTACAATAAAAAGCTGCGAGATGAAAAACGAACCGGATATAAATATAAGCTCCATCATCACTTTTAAGAAGATAATTCGTATTTACATGTGTTGTATGATCCTCCTCAACCAACCTAGATATCATCCATTAGTATCCTATGCTCCGATAATAACGAGACAATTCTGCTCCGTACATAAAGTCCGCTCCACCAGGAACTACTTCCCCATTCAAGTACTTTCCTCTCACAGTACCTGATTTAATGGGTACACAGCGACGTCGACCGTAAGGTCCATTCCCGATCTCCATCGGAGGGTCGACCACGCACCGAAGAGTGAAAAGATGGGTTAGAGCTGGTGGCGGCGAGAGGGGTTCCATTTTAACGTTGTACTCCTTCGAATCCTTGGTGTGAAAAGAGCTGTATAGCGAAGGATGGAGGGGAAATGGTGGCAGCCTGGGGAAATGAGGAGAGAGAGTGGGTCGCAGAAGAAGAGATCGGTTATATCATACTCCCCGGTTAGTTCTCCCCGATGTTCGGCTTTGTGGCCATATCATTGCATAAATGATATGTGCTTTGTGGTGTGAAGACAGCCATTCGAGTATTGTAGGGACCCAGAGAACTATACAAGTGTGGTACAATACAAGTCTTCCAGAAACTAGAGTTCCCAATATACTTTTCTGATAATCCCCGTAGACCTAACTCTAAACAGTACTGAGCTATATCTAGAAATAGAGAGAATATCTATATATTTATCTGGAGCTGTATTATGAATTAATTAACAACATTAATAACCAGGTGTATTTTCTCTCAGCCAGATTTACTCTAGCCTAGTGGGATTATCCACCCGATTGAGTAAGTCAGTCCCCGGTGTGATTAATATCAGTGGCCTTTGACTCCCTGTTCAATTAATATGACTTACTCTTTCTTCAGCTGAGAGAATAGTGCAGTATTAGTACAGGTGCCCGTACAATACCATAACTGGTACCTTTAGATTTAAGGACTTATCTCTGGCAAGAACAATTGCACAGCACCCTGTCTGGGCCAGATAGCATATTTATCTTTCTCTATCGGGCCGGTTCAATCCTGGGCCCTATTTGTATCTTTCCCACTTGGGCGACCTTCAGATTGATAACCTCTATTCTATTCCGCCCGACTATGTTCCAGCCGGGAAACAACCCCGGAGTATATATATATATATAGCAGAACTTTTTCTCACTTTCTTATTGATTACATAAATATACTCGCTGTGGTATATTCTTGGTCTCTTCGATCTTGAAATTTGAGAGTATACCTGCAATCGTGCTTTCATATTCTCCAGAAAAGCTCTTTGGAGCAAAAGTACTCATGTCACCTGAACTTTTGCCCTGCGAGATATTACATGAGGTATTCAAACAGGTATTTGATAACATCAGGCCTGTGAACTTGACTTCAGCTGAAGTACACAAAATCTCAGTTACGGCCTGAAGACCTATGGTGTCTTCTTGGAACCACGAAGAGATTTCTCTACTACGCTGCCCCGGTGCTGCTTCGGAAAGCAAAGGTTCAATTTAATTCTGACAGTGTATCGCTGAATGGAAGGCCGTTGCATCCACGTATCGCATATGATATTCTGATGACATGGGCATCAAATATACGGACCCTGAAGTATAAACCTTTGAAGCGTCCAATATAGGTAAACATTAATAGTACGCAACATGCTTCTCAGCTAGGCTGACCACAAGCGATATTCCTCTTTATAGATCATACTCATACACATACACACACACACACACACACACACACACACACACACACACACACACACACACACACACACACACACACACACACA